ATCATTTGCCTGTCGTCGTCGAAGCAGCTTTTCGCAAAGCTTCGCCTCGCACCTATTCTTCTTCACTTCGGCGCAAGGCCTGTCGACCAGCCACCACGGCTTCCGATGCAAGCCGTGATATTTTCAGGGCCGCCCTTACCGCCGATCAAGCTCCAGGCTGGAACGCGGACGTTGATGAGCACTACCATGCTTATGTGCTTAATCTCACCTCTGCAGCGCAGCCCCTGTGTGCTGAGACAGCCTGTGAACCTCGCCAGACTTTCCTGTGCGAAGCCACCATGACCCTCGTTCAGAGGAGAAGAGGGTTAAGAAGCCAGCTCAGGCTTATTGAGGCGGAAAAGCAACGGAGGCTTCTCCTGATCTCGTTTGCGGCCTTTCTTCTACATGCCGGTGGCGAAACGTTTACACAGCAAACTTGTACACGTGCAGATGAGTGGCTCCGCGCCATCGACTACGTGGTCGCGGAGACTATGGAGCTTTTGTTCGAGGTCTCCACGGCTGTCAGGGCCGCCGTCAAGAGGGACCGGATTGGATACCTGGACGGTCTTGTTAAGGACGTGACAGTCCAAGATATGCGGGCGCCCAAAGCACTCTACACTGCAGTCCGTCGAGCTTTTGCTGGTGCTAAGTCGGCGCGGAGGTCCACCTTCCAACCCCTGCCAACCGTGCTCCTTGAGGATGGACAACTGGCACAGTCGCATGCTGACAGGGTTGACAGATGGGCTGCCTTTTTTGGTAGCCAAGAGGCTGGCGTACGTGTTACTGCGGATGAGTACAAGCAGCGGTTCGCCTGCCCTGATATTCCTGTCGGGAATGCCGACCCCGTCTTCTCCATCCGGGCTATTCCTTCGCTTACAGAGCTGGAGCAGCAGCTCTTACGAGCCCAGTACGGCAAAGCTTGTGGCCCTGACGGGCTCACTGCCGAGGTGTTTCGGTTGTCGGCTCCACATGTTGCCAAGTTGCTTTTCCCTATATGCCTCAAGGCTTCGCTTAGCCTCCGCGAGCCCTCGGAGTGGAGGGGTGGTAGTCTCCACTGTTTAGCCAAAAAAGCACAAGCAGCACTTGAATGCTCTGGCTATCGTTCCATACTCATGGCGAGTGTGGCGGGGAAGGCTCACCACCGCATCCTTCGCAATAAGCTTATGCCGCATTTCGGGGCACACAGGGCGGCTTTGCAGTTTGGTCAGGTTGCTGGCGTTGGAGTGGAAGCAGTGGCACACATTGTGCGCACCTACCAGGTGCTTATGCTTGGCCGCCGGCGCGTTTGTGCCACCACCTTCTATGACGTGAAGACAGCATTCTATCAGGTCATAAGACAGGCGCTCTTGCCAGGGACTGCCGGCCATACCGATGCTAGGATCCTCGAGCTCCTTCATGGTTGGGGTGTTCCCGAGGAGGCATTAGGTGAACTCATCATACACCTGCAGAACATCGCTGCGCTGCCCACCGCCTGCGACGATGAGCACTTGTGTGCTCAGATAGCCGACCTCTTTAGGGGCAGCTGGTTCCGTCTGGATGGGGCGGACCCACTTCTTGTAACTTATAAAGGAACTCGACCAGGAGATCCTCTTGCCGACCTATTGTTCGGGTTCCTCTTCTCAGCTTATGTCAAAAGCTCCGAACGAGCCTTAGCTGACGCAGGGTTGGCGACGCATGTCCCGCAAGCCGCTTGTGGGGCGACAACTATTTTTGGACATGCCTGTCAGGAAATTGGGTGCATGGCCTGGGCCGACGATTTCGCACACTTACAGTCGGCACTTGATGTGGTCGCCCTCTGTGAGCAGGTTCAACGGGCCACCAGCCTTTTGGCCACGAGGGCGACAGCGCACGGCATGCAGTTGACGTTTGCCGTTGATAAATCTGCAGTGCTCTTCTGTAGCGCCAGTAGCCGTGCCCCCAACCAGTATCTGACTGCCGATCCGGACGGTCAGCTTGGTCTCCACATCTGGGATGCGATTCTTCAGAGGAGTTTCTTTCTTCCGGTTGTGGATTCATATCGCCACTTGGGCACAATCGCTGTCGCTAATGCACGGCCTGGGCCTGAAATTGCGTTCAGATTGTCCAAGGCTCAGGCCACTCTAATACCTCTTCGACGCAGGCTCTTTTCCAATTCGGATATTCCACTCCAGACCAGGCGCCTGCTGCTCAGGGCTCTGGTTGTTTCCAAATTCGTGTTCTCCTCCTGCTCCTTGCTTCTACAAGCAGGTGTACACCGGAGGGCCTGGTGCCGCGCTTATGTCCGCATATGGCGCGCCTTATGTCGGTGGAAGGGGGTTGAGAATGCTCCTCATAGCTACCAAGTCCTGCACGTCGCAGCCGCGACCTCGCCGCTTCTTGCGCTTGCTAAAGCCAGAGCGGCCTATTTCCGCCGTCTGTTGATGCAGGGCCCCTCAGCCCTCTTGTATCTCCTCAGAGTGCACTGGGCTGACTCTCCATGTCAGTCCT